TCCTCCTCCTCCTTCTCCTGCAACACCTACAAGACTGCAAACTCCTTGCTGCTGGATCCCAGTGTGTCTGGGACTAGCCCTTGACAAGCAGTGCTTTTCTGCTTGAACCCAGACCTGGGTTAAAACAAAGTAGCTTCCTGAGGAGGAAGTGGCTATTCACCCACCAAACAGCCCAACCCCAAAAGCCGCTGCTTCACTTCTTGGATCAGTGAGCTACCAGATCTGCCTTCAAGATGCTCCACGAAAAACTGAATTTTATTTTATTTTATTTGCAAAATGCAAAATTAAAACTGCCACAGAAGCAATCAATGCATCCATCATTTAGTGCATGGATTTAGTGTAGTTGAACACAAATATGCGTATGCATAATCTCTATATAATTTACACTTAGCTACTGCATGGTGGTGACCTGTCCATATAGGTAGTCCTCAATTTACAAGGACAGTTGGGACCTGGATTTCTGCTTTTAAGTAGGGGGGTTGTTAAATGTATCACTCCCAGTTTTACAACCTTTTTTTTTGCCATGGTTGTTAAGCGAATCATACAGTTGTTAAGCAAATCCAGCTTCCTTCCGTTGACTTAGCTTGTTGGAAACGGCTGGGAAGGTCAGAAATGGCAATCGTATGACCCCAGGACACTGCAATTATTGTTAAATGCATGCTAGTTGCCAAGCACCCAAATTTTGATCACGTGACTGTGGGAATGCTACAACAGTCGTAAGTGCAAGGACCACGTATAAGTCACTTTTTTCCAGTGCTATTTTGACTGTGAACAGTCACTAAATGAACGGTTGTAAGCTGTAACCTCTACTCTATTCCCTTCATCCATAAGCGGTGATGGCGAACCTTTTTGTTGTGATGTGCCAAAAGTGCGTGCGCGTGCCGACACCCATTGTGCCCCCCTGTGCATGCGTATGCAACACCCCCGTCCCACCCCCTTACCTGCACTGCGCATGCACAAGCTCCCAGCTGATTTTCATCCCGTTTGAGGCTGTTTTCGCCCACCCAGGGACTCAAGGGGAGCGTCTGCAGCCTCGGGAGGCTGAAAGCAGGCCATTTCGGCACTTCTGGTCTATCCGGAAGGCCCATTTTTCTGCCTCCCAAGGCTGCAGAGGTTTCAATTAAGCCATCAATCAGCTGGGATGATGCGCAGCGCAGGTAACTTTGGCTGGGGCTTGCGTGAGCACACAAATGGCTCTGCGTGCCTCCTGTGGTATGCGTGCCATAGGTTCGCCATCACGGCCATAGACAGTGCCTTTATCTCCAGGCCGTGGTATAACCCAAAGATGTCATTAGCTATGCCTATATAAAAGTAACATCTCTCTTATTCCAATATAAATATCAGTGTGCCAAATTTTCCAACTCATTACAGGAGCTGGTCGACTGATCTGTAAGTGTGGAATTGCAGATAGGATTTTGAATGGTGAGAAATGCAGGTGTCAAGTAGCCCTTATTAGCCACAGTTATTAGCCACCTCTGCAGTTTCTCCTCTCCCAGCCTTGGCTCTCTCCATTAGCAAATTTTGTTTACTAAGCTTATTTCACATGGATCATCTCTCCTGCTCCCACTGTGCTGGATGCTACCTTCTTTCCTGGTTTCCCATAAGGAAGAGAACCTCTAGTCCAGGGATGTCCAACTCGGGTTGTCAGGGCGGCATCATGTCACATATCGGGACTTTTTGTCTCCTTCACTAAACTGGAGGTGGGCGTGGCCGGCACGTGATACATCCAGTCCGTGGGCCGGGAGTTTGACAGCCCTGCTTTCAGTCTTTCCACTGAGGATTAACCGAGTTGGTAGGGACCTTGTAGGTCATCTAATCCAACCAACTCCCCACCCAAGCAAGAAACCATTTCTGACAGATGGCAGTCCAGTCTCTTCTTGAAAGCTTCCAGTAATGAAGCTCCCACAACTTCTGAGGGCAAGCTGTTCAATTGGTTGATGGTTCTCACTATCACAAAGTTTCTCCTTATTTCTAGGTTGAATCTCTGATCAGTTTCCATCCATTATTCTTTGGCCTTCAGGTGTTTTGGAAAATAGGTTGATTCCCCTCCTCTCTGTGGCAACCCCTCAAATATTGGAACACTGATATTATGTCTCCCCGGTCCTTCACTAGACTAGCCATGCCCAGTTCCTGTAACTGTTCTTCATATGTTTTAGCCTCCGTCCCCCAAGAAGAAAGATTTTCACTTTTCTGGTTTAATAATACTTAGAAGGGATTTTTCTGCCACTTCTAATCCTGAGGATACAGATTGACTACAGGTAGAGTAGAGTAGAGTAGAGTAGAGTAGAGTAGAGTAGAGTAGAGTAGAATAGAATAGAATAGAATAGAATAGAATAGAATAGAATAGAATAGAATGGAATAGAATTCTTTATTGGCCAAGGGATTCGTCTTGGTGCAAATGCTCTCAGTGTACATAAAAGAAAAGATACATTCATCAAGAGTCAAGAATCATAAGGTATAACACTTAATAATAGTCATAGGGTACAATAAGCAATCAGATCATACTAGGAAACAGTCAATATAAATCATAAGGATACAAGCGACAAAGTTACAGTCATACAGTCACAAGTGGGAGGGGATGGATGATAGGGAGTGATGAGAAGATGAATAGTAATAGTAGTGCAGACTTTGTAAATAGTTGGACAGTGTTGAGGGAATTATTTGTTTAGCAGACTGACAGCGTTAGGGGAAAAACTGTCCTTGTGTCTAGTTGTTCTGGTGTGCAGTGCTCTATAGCGTCATTTTGAGGGTAGGAGTTGAAACAGTTTTATGTCCAGGATGTGAGGGGTCTGTAAATATTTCCACAGCCCTCTTTTTGACTCTTGCAGTATACAGGACCTCGACTGAAGGTAGGTTGGTAGTAATTGTTTTTTCTGTAGTCCTAATTATCTTCTGAAGTCTGTGTCTGTCCTGCTGGGTTGCAGAACCAAACCAGACAGTTATAGAGATGCAGATGACAGACTCAACAATTCTTCTGTAGAACTGGATCAGCAGCTCCTTGGGCAGTTTGAGCTTTTTGAACTGGCGCAGAAAGAACATTATTTGTTGTGCTTTTTTGATGATGTTTTTGATGTTAGGTGTCCATTTTAGGTCATGTGATGTAGAACCTAGAAATTTGAAGGTCTCTAGGTAGTCATTGACTTATAGCCACAATTGAGCCCAAAATTTCTGTTGTTATAAGAGACATTTATTAAGTGAATTTTACCCCATTTTTCTTGCCACAGTTGTTAAGTGAATCACTGCAGTTGTTAAGTTAGCAACATGGTTGCTAAGTGAATCTATCTTCCCCATTGATTTTGCTTGTCAGAAGGTCACAAAAGGGGATCACAATGGTCATAAATATAAACCAGTTGCCAAGCGTCTGAATTTTGATCACATGATCAAGGGCATGGTGCAAAGGTCATAACGGTGAAGAATGGTTATCAGTCACATTTTTCAGTGCTGTCGTAACTTTGAATGGTCAGTAAACAAACTATTGTAAATCAAAGACTACCTGTACTTCTATTTACATAAACCTTGAATTGCACAGACTCACCTTCGCACTGGTTAAGCAATGCCTTAATGTAGAGTATTCAAACAGCTATACACATTTCTCTGTTGATCGTAAATGAGACGGAATG